TTATGGACGGGGTAAGTTTTGCGTCTGCGGTTCTACTTTCGACGCCGAAGCTCGAAGCCTAATCACTAAACTTCCTGCGATTTGAAGAAAGGTCATTCCCGAAGCTGGAATCAGCAGATTTCATTGCGAAGTTCAGCTCCTTGTCATTCCAGCGTTTGGGGTTTCAGGGATTCTTGAGTTTAGGGACGTGTAGGGCTGAGGGTTCGGGACCGAGATAAGGGGTTACCAGTATAGTCTCCATGTCTTTTGGGGTTTCACCCAACATCGCATTTTAGGGTCCTGCAGGGTAGCCCAAAAAAAGGAACTACAATGAAGACTATGCTTGCAGGGTAGCCCCCAAAAAAGGAACTACAATGAAGACTATACTTTGGGTGCCGAAATAATTCTATGCTATTTTGGGGGTCCTTAACATATTTACGGTTTAACGGGCCCCCAAACACTATTCTAATTATTTTTGAGGCCCCTATATTAGGTGGCATCACGGTTTCAGCCTAGGGGAGTGAAGAGTTGGGGAGCTGAGCGACAGGCGCAGGAGGTCAGTATGCTTGCAGCACAAGGGGGATGCTCTGAGATTGAGGCAACTTGACACTGCCTGCATGAAGTAATCTAGGGGCCTAAAATAGTTACCAACACTATTTTGGGGGTCCCTTATTGTAATTATAGTATATCGGGCCCCGAAACCTTATTCTAATTATTGAGGCCAGTATTCCAACACTCAGTTTAGTCGTCAGGAACGAGGAGTAACCCTCACGACTGGCCAGCATGCGCAGTGATGCATAGCCTTGCTCATGCGCCTAATGCCTAATGTCTGAACACATGGTAGAAGGGAAACGTTGAATTCCTGCGCAACTCCCGGAGCTGTGAGTTGAAAGCACCATGTCGTGGTGGTACTACATCGTGCTCATGATGATGTGGCTGATGATGATGTCAATGCAGATCGCGGTGATGTTCGTGACAATGTTCATGACGGTTGTCATAGATTGTCATGTTTATTGCAATGTTAAAGTTGCGACAAAAAGTTGCAAACATGTTTGTTCCTACGGTCCTGACCGTGATAATTGGCACCGAGAGCGTGCCGTCCGAGGGTTAATTATGTGAAACAGCCATGCGCAAGTGCCTTTCAGCTTCCAGTACTACAACTCCGAGATTGGCTCTGGCCCGCTTGCAATGCTCAGAGAGCCCAATACCCCTTAATTAAGCAATATGGCTTAGATTATATAGGGCTTGATATGATGATTTTGATTTAAGCTGTATTCCTTAATTAAGGGGTATTGGGCTCTCTGGGTGGTTTCGATCTGCGTGGGTGGCCGTGTGGACGGGCGGGTGGACTATGAACCTGCCTGTCCCAGCCTACGCAGCAGTCGTTCAAAGGGGAGAAGGAGGGACCCTTAATGGGGACCCCTACCCTATAATGGGCTATATAATGGTTATATAATAGCTATATTAAGGGTATATACCTAGGGGTCCTTATTAAGGGTCCCTCCTGTTCCCCTTTGAGTGTAACATGGCCGAGGTTCTTGGATGGCGAGTTCTGCATCAAGGATCTGGGTTCCACTACAGGAACCTTCTTCTACCTCAGACCCCAATGATGCTCGGTCGACATAGCAATAATCTAGTATTATAAGTACAGTATCATGGGCACCAACACCCTATTCTAATTACCAAGGCCCCTATACTATAGTACCCTTATAGATCCCTTATAGTAGCCCCTATAGACCCCTTTATTTAGGAACCCTAAACCCTATTCTAATTGTTAAGGCCCCTTAAATTAAGCCTCGAGGAGAAGACACAGTGGAGTCGGAATGTCCAACCCTTGGGACCCTCTTGCCGCCTTCTCCGGATCAATTCGTTCGTACTGGTAATAAAGGGGCCTTAATAATTAGAATAGGGTTTAGGGTTCCTAAATAAAGGGGTCTATAGGGGCTACTATAAGGGATCTATAAGCGCGTACTATAGTAGAGGGGCCTTGATAATTAGATAAGGGTTCCTTTAAAAGGGTCATGGGAGTCCTACAAGGGTACTATGATATGAGGCCTTAATAGTTACCTATACTATTTTTGGGGTTCCGGGGGTTCCTGAGTATAGTTATAACATACTATACACCAACACTCTGTCTTAATGACTAAGGCCCCGATATTGCTTCCAACATGGTTCTTCGATGCTTTTGTAGCCAAACTTCCCTTCATCTGAGCCGTTCATGTGGCGCAGTGATCTCTTCTGTCCGGTCTTCTTAATGGTTTTTTACAGCAACAGACCGAGACCAGCAGAATGAGATCAGCATCGCCGTGCCCTTCAATGCGCATCATAGGAGGCCAAAAGGGGTTTTAGCCTATGGGGGTGTAGTAGGGATCAGGGTCCCCATAATAGGGTTCATCTTAAGGAATCCCTACCCCAAGAATCTTAACCCCCCCTTTTTGGCCTTTCATCAGTGCATTTTCCGACGCATCGAGACGTTGCATCCGCCAAGCCTGTGCAGGTTCTGCCCTGGCAGACGGAAACCCAAGATCCCGAAAAAAAAGAACCCTAAACCGTCCGAAACACTAAGCGGCCAATTTCTCCTCCTTCGAGGCCAGTTCCAGATTTTCCCTGGGCTGATGATCAAGCTGGGCGAGACGGAGATGCAGGCCAAACTGACGTGAGGGTTTAGGGTTTAGAAGGGGGTTTGGGGTTAAGGGTGTAGCGTAGGGTTTGATTAGCATTTCCTGTTATGAGTGTGGCATATCGCTTGCAGGCGCATTGCCAGATGCTGCCTCATGGGCTAGATTTTGGGTGGGTTCCTCATTATAGCTATAGTTTCACAAGCCCCACATCCCTATTCGTCATATATTGGAAGCACGCCCTAGTGTCCTTTACAAGGAAACCTTACGGAAAGGAACCCAATGTTCGAGTTATTACAGGTGAGGGTTTGGAGCGCATCCCCGGTCTTGAGCAACATGGGTTATGGCTTTCAGGCCCGGGCTTGATAAGGGTTCAGGGGTTTAGGGTTCAGAGGTTTAGGGTGCAGGGTTTAGGGCTTAGGGGCGTATAGGTGCGTGGGGGTTTGGAGCCTCTGGGTTGAGGGTTTTGGAGTTTTTGGTTTAGGGTTTAGCAGATTTCATCAAGTTGCCTGCGCGAGGTGCTGTCGCAGAATCCCACGCCTCGTGGTATGGAGCTGTCTGTCATGTTCTACGAGGGACACTCGGCTAAAGTGGCTTTAGCCGGATTGCCCAATCTCTGTCTTGCCGCCGGATCTGTCTAGACTCTAGACTTCAGGGTTCATCCTAAAACCCGCACCTCTGCAAGCTGAAAGCTGACTCACTGAATAAATGAATGACGAGGTATCTGACAATCTGAACTAAGTAGCTAGCTAGCTGTTTGCTTGTCTGGCTGACTGACTCACCTCACTAGCCGACTAGCTGGCTGACTGACCAACTAACAGGCTAAATTACTTCGGTACCTAACCAAATAAGCTACGACGATGACAACGTAGCGACTACAGTTTCCCTCATGTTCTTCATTGCAATGAACCTGTTTGTGTTCACGGACATCTCCAAAAATGTGGGAACACAGGCGTAACTAAGTTCATGCTGAGGTTGTCAAGTTCTCGCAACAGCGGTCCACAGGAATTATGTTGTTGCTGAGCGGTACCATCATGGTAACTGTTCTGTCCCAGGGATTGGCGACTTGAAACGGCCAATCCGATCTCCACCCTAAACCGCTTGAGCCCTGAACCCTAAGCCTTCAGCGTGATTCGAGGGTATGCAGACTATGTTGAAGGATGGTGCTGGAGTGAGGGTTGACTTTTGTTGGGTATCGCAACGATGCCTCGTCCCCTGACCATGCTGTGGATGTCAGCTGCAGGTGCAAACAGCGGTTCAGAAAACGAAGCACTCCTTCTGAACCCTAAATCCCGAAACCCTTTTCCGAGCTAGGTCCATTTGCCGGACACAAGGCCGCGCTTCTGAATGCGGGCTGAAATGGCTCTCTCCAGTCGTTCCGCAGTGGATGTTGTCTGCATGTACGTTAAACTACCATAACCCACTTTTTTGGGTAGGTGCTCATAATGCTCATATTATGAACCCGGATATAGAATATAGTATAGCCCTACTTGGAGGGTCGCGGGACTTAGTAAGTAGGTAGGAAGTAGACTTATAAGTACCCTACAAGGGACTCTAATTGGGGTTATGGTACTTAAAAGTCCCTAAAGTAACCAGTTACTAAGTCCCCCGACCCTCCAAGTACAAAAACCTGGGTGTTGGTTCGAGAAGGTAAGCTGGTGAAGCTGCGGGCTTCCTCAACTATTTGGGAGTTTCCGAAAATTAGGGGTACCTTATTTGTGGGGTCCTTGGAACGAGGATTCTACTATTTAGGGTACTCTATTAGGGTCCCCTATTTTCGGAAACTCCCACTTGTGGCCTGTACTGGATGAGGGCTTTACGCCAACCTGCTGAAGATTGAACCCCCGGAGCCCGGCATCGTAGCCTTGTACATACATTCTATGTCATAGACGTGTATATTTACACACATTCAATATTCTATGTTGTTGTATTATCATCATTATTGCTTTTGTTAGTGTTGTTGCTTTTATAGTTATTATTGCTATTATTATTGCTATATATATGTATGTCTGTCTGTCTGTCTGTCTGTCTGTCTGTCTGTCTGTCTGTCTGTCTGTCTGTCTGTCTGTCTGTCTGTATGTATGTATGTATGTATGTATGTATGTATGTATGTATGTATATATATATATATGTACATATTGATAATCTGATAGTAGATCTAGTGCTCTCGGGTCCTTGCAACACTGGCAGGAACCGATTGGCTTGATGCTGAGGCTGCGTGCTAAACCGCCGTGGCAAATCGCAGCTATTAGCATCAGAGCGAATCGCTAACACGTGCTTTTCAAGTTCACGTGGTAATTTGTGGTATAGAATTTCAGAGCGAAGTTCAGAAAACTTGTGTATCACCTTCTCGTGATCAAGCTCCAAGCCTCATTGATGTTGGCATAGCCATCCGGTGTGGCCATGGCATCTGCAGGCAAAGGCAAAGGCAAAGGTGCGTCGAACCCTCCCAGCGAGGAGCTTTTCGTGACTGGTCTCCCCATGGACTGTAGTGATGAGCTTCTCAAAGAGATCTTCAGCCAGTATGGAACCGTCAAGGACGTGAAGGTTCTTCCGCCGGCTGCGGGCAAGAAGGCTCGTGCGGGATTCGTGGATATGGCATCTGTGGATGATGCCAAGTGGGTCGTCCAACACGTCCATACCAACGTCCCTTGGCTGACTTCTGAACCCCTCTTAAAAGTTAAACTTTTAGCCTCCTTAGTATGGCTCATATAGAAAGCCAAAACGTTAAAGTCCTAAGAGCCAACCAGAAGAACGCCAAGGTCCCCCAGGGCTTGTCGTCTCCCGTGGAGGTGAGCTACGCGATCCCGAGATCCCAGCGCAACAGCGCCAAGGGGAAGGGCAAGGGAAAAGGCATGCCACCGGAAATGATGATGCAAATGATGGCGATGATGATGTCCAGCATGGCCGGCTGGGGGAAGTAGCGAGTCAGCACAGCACAAGACTGTGCTGTGCAGGATTATTGCTTGCCCGGGAGCTGCCACGCGCCACAGAGGCTGAAGCCTTGCTCAGATATGGTGAGAAGGTTGCCAACCCCGGTATTGTCATCGGCAGAATGAAAACAGAGGAGTCAGCAGCGCATACATCTCCAGCCTGTGGGAGTTTCCGAAAATAGGGGACCCTAATATAGTACCCTGCATAGTAGGATCGTTGTTACAAGGACCCCAAAATAAGTTGCCCCTAATTAATTTTTGGAAACTCCCTAGAACGGCCAGGCTTGCCAGTAAGTGTGATTCAAGGGATGTGGCACTGCTATCCACTGAATGCACCCGAAACCCTACAGCCGAAATTCTGAAAGCGTACATTTCTTTAACCCTAGAGCTTTAACCCTATCCCTCCAAGGCCCTCATAGTTAGGGCCCTAGACCCCTTAAGGACCCCATAATAAGGTCCCTGGAGGCATAGGGTAAGTCCTCGAGAATCCCCACTTATAGACCCCGGAGCCCCTCTTTAAGGAACCCCTAAACACTAAACTCTAAACCCTTCTTGAGGGCTCCTTTTAAGGGTTCGAAAAGGTGCCCTTAAAGAAAAAAAAAGGTTCTAAACCCTTCTTGAGGACCCCTTTTAAGGAACCCGCAGGTGACGGTGCCGGCAGCCGGAATTACTATCGGCCGTGTGTCTGACAACACCTTGGTCCTCCTGCAAGATGGCCTCTTGGCTATGGTTTAGGTTTAGGGTTTAGATTTATGGCTTAGGGTTTAGATTTATGGTTTAGGGTTTAGATTTATGTATATTGCAAAACATCATGGTATCATCTGCAACAAAAGCAACATTATATGATTGATTATAGTATGACATAGCACAAGGACAAGCAGCAACGGCGCTGACAGAACGTACTGACCTGTCCGCTGCTTCTGCCCGATTTGTAAGGAGCAATTTTAGGCGTTGCATGAGAAACTAGCATGTTTTTTGGTGCAGGGTTCAGATCTCGAATAGCATGTTTGGCTCGCGAGGGCGTTGTGAGGTGTTAACGGGCATCCTTGCATTCGGGATGTGGGGGCGGTTTGGGGCTCTTGCGGTGTTCGGGAAAGCTTATCTCAGCTAGGGTTGCGAACTGAGCGCTCTAAACGTTTAAACCTGCGCTGTAGACCCACATAAACCCCAAATCGTCACACTCTCGTCCTACAGCCCTTGACCCCAGTGCGCTGAACCGTTTGTGGAGAGTTCCAGGAACTGTCTCAGCGCATCACGCCATGCTCTTCCACGAGAACGGCAGCTTCTTTATCCAAGCATCCTGGCAAGCTGGAGGGCTTAGGGGCTTCATGGACTGTAGGGTTTTGGGGCACAGTACAGGATATGCATAAAATGTTCATATATGGGGTATGTTATAGTGTAGGGGTTTTATAGGGACTCTGGGGATATGGATTCTCCTCGTGGCTGTAGCGTCTTCACAGACTTTAACAACAAACCTTGCCAGGTGATGTTGACACCCCTAGAACTGTCGCTACTGGTATGCTGCCTTAAGACCGACGCTGACATGAGTGTCTTGCACAGGAGGGATGCGGCAACCGAACGGCCTGTGTTGAGCGCTGTAGTTTCAGCTATGTCTTCTATATAATATGAATCTGTTTTTGCAACGAACGGTAGAGCTCGTATCACTTTTGAAAGCCACTGGTCGGCGCTCACGCGTAAGATCGTAAGATTGCAGCTACCCCTCTGCCCCTTGGCCCAGCAGTAACCTGTCCGGGCCGTACTCAACAGGACCTGGGCAGTTGCAACGGCACCTGTGTGCGGTTGAGCCCCGAGCGAGCCAGCAGTGATTGGCATCCCATCATCGATGGTGATGTGCCTTGCCTCAACGATTCGGCATTTTTTGCACGGAGCAGCGTCATGCTAGCGTGTGTGTGTGTGTGTATATATATATATATATATATATATACATACATACATATGTGTGTGTGTGTGTGCGCCTCTTTGTATAGATATACATATGTAGGCATGCCTGTATGTAATTATGTATGTATGTAAGTATCCATGTAACGACTTGCCGTGTATGTGAAACTGTGAAACATACATCTATAGTATGCAGTCCGCGTAAGTGGTGCACAGAGGCACCATATCGCTGATGCGTATCTTTCTTTTTGTTGACTGCTTTGGGCACAGGTTAGGAGATCAGCTTCTGCATGATGGCGTGGGTTGAGGGTTCTAGTGTTCGACCAGCTGAGGTTGGGTTCGGGGTATAGAGTTTGCAGTCATCCCAGTATGTTCCAGCTCTCAGTACACAGATTAGTATGAGTCTAGTATGAGTCTGATATGAGTCCGATACTGCTGTTCTCCATTACGTAAAAGGAATCACACTCCCTGGATGGCATGCTGCACTCCGAGATTGCTAGCGTAGGTACCTGATGAGACCCGGATCCTTCAACCAATCCTAAACCCTAGGCCCCGTAAGAGCCCCGATCACTTGTTGATCAAAACCATAGGCCTATTCTAAGCTGCTTGAGGAGGTTTTAATGATTTTAGTGTCTGAGGTGTTTGGGTTTAGGGTTAGGGTGTGGAGTGTATATAGGGTTTTAGGACCTTGCTTTTTTAGATTTTATGGGTTCGCTTGTAGGTGCTTGCACCGACAAGCAAACCCGAACCCCCAAACACTGCACCCTCAAACCCTAAACCCTCCCAGGGTTTAGGGCTTAAGGCTGAAGCCCTAAAACCTGAATTTTGAACCCCCGCTTTTGACCTGAGGTCCTGGGTGCTGGCTGTACAAAGATCCGGTGCAGAGTGTGCCATCCGTAAAAAAGCCGGATCTTAGGATCCAGGATTTGCCTGTGCATCCAATACGTAAGCTGCTACTTCAGTAGGATGGCTATAGCCTGTCTCCATCTATCTATCTACCCGTCCATTTGTCTGCATATGTGTCTATCTGTCCGTGTATCTGCCTATCTCTCTATCGATCTATCTATCCATACGCTTATCTACTGATCTCTCTCTATGTATATAAATATAAATATAAATATATATATATATATATACATAAGATATAATATGATATGTACATATACATATATGTGTGTTTATACACATATTTGCCCACACATATCTCCCTCTCTGTCTATCTGTATTTCGTTATATTTATTTATCTACCTACCCAGCTTTCTAGTTATCTACCTACCTACCTACCTATCTATCTGTTTGCCTGTCTATCTGCCTATCTGTCTAACCATCTGTTTGTCTATTTTATCTATCTGTTTGTCTGTCCAGCACTCTACGGATCCATCGAACTGTTTATCTATGTATTTGTTAGTCGATCCTTCTCTTGGGCGTTCATTCCTCAAACAGTGTGCTCCCGAAACTCCTGGTGGTATCCTTGTTCCTCAATGTCCTGATCGTACCTGTCGTCCTTGTCCTCGTGGTCCTGGTGGTGGCGGTGATCTTGGTCATCGCGGGCGTCGAGGTGCTCTACTACTGCCTGCGATCTGGGCTAGCATGGTTCTTTGTTCGTCTATGTTTACCATCGGCAACCTGTGGTGATCTAGTGGCAACCCACCACAGAGGCAGCTGGCGTTTGCAGCAGGCTGCAGTAGTTGGGAATGCGTAAGAAGAATACCTGAATACCCACAACACCCTATCGGAAGCTTTTATAATCTGTAAAGACAATGCTATACTCCTGTATTCCAGAAGGCTTTGACCCATGAGAAGTCATGCCGTATAGAACCGCATCGTCTAGACTTCATTTTGTGATCCTCAAGCCAACTGGTGATCCACCCAGCACTGCTAAAACCTGCTCGTACACTGTTTCAGCCATTTGGGGCAGCTTGTCAGACCTCCCGGCACGGAACTTCCTTCCGTAGAAGCAGAAAGACCCAATACATCCGACGAATGGTTAGGGCTTAAGGCTTAGGGTTTAGGGTTTAGGTTTTAGGGGCAATTCTCAAGGAAAGGCACTCTGGCAAACTTCAGGGCTTCACGGAAGACTCTTCGAAGCTGACCGAGCCAAGCTTCCTCGCACAAGCCGTAGGAGTTTAGGGTTTAGGGTTTAGGGTTTAGGGTTTATACTAGGGATTAGGGTTTAGGGATTAGGGTTTAGGGTTGAGGGATTAGGGATTAGGGTTTCGGGCTTGGTCAAGGGTTTAGGGTTCTTGTTCCGGCGTGTGGTGTCGGCGCCATGGTCCCGCGACGGGCCGGCCGTCTTCTCGTTGCCATTGCTGCCGCCATGCTATTTGGATCCCGGAAGTACTAATTAAGTAGCTTTTCTGCGTATGGGTGTGCTTCTTCGGCAGGATTTATTTTCATGAAGTTCTCACTAGTTTTCACTCGTTCTCGTCAGTGCACGCAGCATTTGTGCGACCTACTGTTTGATTGCATGCAGCTCCGCGGAAACTTCGATCCCAAACCCCTGAACCTTGTCTAAATCTTATCCTTACGGTGCCAGAACCCCACATCCAGGTACCTTCAACCCCCAAACCCTCAACCCTTAAACCCTTGAACCCAAAACCCTATAAACCCTTCAACCCGATTTAAGCCTTTCAAACCTAAACCCCCAAGCCCTCAACCCCTAAACCCTCAACCCCCAACCCTCAACCCCTAACCCAAAACCCCAAACCCTAAACCCTTCAACCCGAAATAAACACTTCAACCCTAAACCCCCAAGCCCCAAGCCAGCAACCACTAAACCGTAAAATCCTAAACTCCAAGCCCTCAACTACTAAACCCATCAGCCCTAAACCCCCCATTAACTCCACGAGGTTTGCGTCGCCGCCTTTGCTTTGTCCGCCAGCTGGGCGATGTGTGGCACCGATCTGCGGCACGATGAGCATGGGAGGCTCGGGTTTTATGGCGTTTTTTCAGGTTAGGGGGGGCTTAGGGGTTTGGGGTTTAGGGGATTGGGCTTGGGTTTTGGGGTTTGGGGTTGAGGGGTTTAGGGCTATAGGGGTTTTGAGGTTCTGGAGTTCTGGAGATAGGGGTTTAGGGGTTCAGGGTTGCGCACATGTGGATTCCGCATAAAACCAGAACTTGGAGTTGTCACTTGGTACACACGTCAAAGCATGCTGCCCAAGATTCTTGTTTTGAAGCGATGTCCGTCCGGAGCAAAAATAGGCTTCGGCGCCAGCGGCAACGCAAATTCTTGCAGATTGCTCATTGTGTGGACCGAAGGAGCTGCTGTCGCAGTTGAGAACACGAAACCCCAAACCCTAAACCCTGATTCAAGAAATCCCAACTAAACTCTGTGCAATTAAATCCTAAAACCCTTAAGTGCTAAACCCTGGATCGTAACCCCTGTTATGTCGGCTTCAAACCTTGCTTGCGCACACACAATGACGGAAGAAACCCCAGCTCAGAACGACACTAGGGTTGCGGAAGACTGCACTCTAAGACCCTAGTTCGAAATCGTTTTAAACCCTACGAAATCCTCGACACCGAAGTGGACCTCCCGTGGCAACTGCTGTTAGAACCGCTTTGGATCTGGATTCCCTAAACTACTAAACCCTAACCCTCAACCCTCAACTCCTAAACCCTACACGGTTTAGGGATTGGCTTTCATGGCGCGGTTATCAGGCTTTTACCCTGCGTCCGCCAAGCCTCGACCTGTTGAACTTAGCCCGACTTGGCCTTCCTCTTGTCGGCCTGACCATGGCTATCATCGTCATCAGAATCAGTCATGTACATCAGCCCCAATGCAATCATCACCCCGGTTCTTCTGAAGCTACATTGTTGCTGCTGTCGCTGGCTATGCCTATTTGTCACTGCTCACAACAGCAAGTATAAAATAACACCAGCAATCATGCACAATTCTCGTTCCGAGTTTCCTGTCATTGTTACTGGAGAACCATTGTGTCGATTGTGAGTACCACACCGATCAATCCGAAACCCCTCAAAAATCGAAAAAGCCAAACCCTAACCGTGAACAGTAAACCCTCAACTGTGACCTCAAGCCCTTGATTGTTGTCTTTGCGCTCCCTTCCGTCCTGGACCTCCCAGCGAGTACCGTATTTTGGGGTCCGTTATAATGATGATCCCACTATTTAGGGTACTATATTAGGGTCCCCTCTTCTCGGAAACTCCATCTGCAGATTCCCGCGCTGCCGGGAAGTCGAAGAAGAAGGAGCGCCCCGTGAACATCGAGAGGGGTGCCCTGAATGTCGGGGCCCCATGGGTCCAATGTGAGCTTACTTGGAGGTTCATTATGGGAGTTATAGTCATAATCCATATCAGAGGACTCATCCCTCCATATATAACTACCCATGAACCTCGAAGTAGGGTTGAAGGTATCAGGGGTGCTGGAAGAAGTCACGATAGATTCTGAAAGGGGGCGTCCGATTTGGGTTTTCTTCGTGTTTGCTGCTTGGTTTCGAGAGCAGGAAGTCGTCAAAAGCAGGGGTAGATTTCGCCAGCCCAAGGAATGTATTCAGAACCTTGCTTCAACACGCTTCAGGAGTCGTTGAACAGAATCTCCCCCACCGTAAGCACCCATCGAAGCATACCTTAAACTGCACCCTTGACCCACATCGTCAGGGTTCTTGTTCCCACGGGACACACTGGCAGCCAGTAGTAAGACAACTGATTCGTTTAAACTTTATTTTTTTTGTTTTGAGTGACTTGCACAGCTGTAGCATTCATGAGTCGATGTCGAAGCGGGATATCTAACAAGGTGGGCAAGTAGCATGTCCGAAGAAACTGACCAAACCCGGAACCCTAAGCCAAAGCCCTAAATCCAAGAACCGTAACCCCTAAATCCTGAATCACCTCAACAGTGTGTTGAGGCCAAGTGGACGCCGGTCCGGCAGGTTCTTCACATTGGGCGGTACCTGGCAATGTGGAAGGAGCCAACATGTCTCCGTGTGTGTATGTCTGTGGTAGGTTTCGGAGTTTGATCTTCGTTCATCTCATAGGATTTGCTGGGTCGAGGTCTAGTTCTGGCTGCAGGTGTCGGCGCAAACCCGGTCACTCGGGCCCCGATCCCTAAACCTGTCCTTTGCAAGAAGCCCCTGTTCTCCCAACATGTCTTTGAAGCAGGTGGATGCTATTTATTGTAAGTTTTAGGTTTTGTACACCCCGCCTGCAAAGCAAGTAAGCAGCCCTAGATCCCACACCTCAACTCTAAACCCAAAACTTTACAGAACCACCAACCTATAAGTGCTGAAGGGCAGAAGAATCAGCCTTATAAGCCCTCACATCCTACAGCTTCAAACCTTAAATGCAAGAGAATCAAACCCTAAACCCTAAACCAACCCTGAACCCCTAAACCCCTAAATCCTAAACCCTGAACCCCTAAACCCCAATCCCTAAACCCCTGAACCCCTCAACCCCTAAATCCAGGAGAAGTGGGTCGGACCAGCCAACTTGGACCGTGCAAGCCTCCGAATCACTGGCATGGACCGCTCCTGAGGGGCTCCTATTAGGGACCCAAAAAGAATGATTTCCTTACTATGGTAACTTAAACTAAACCCCCACACCCTTAAAGGAACCCTTATAGATCCCTTCAAGGAACCCGTATAGATCCCTTTTAGGAACCCTTAAAGCACATAAGCATAAGCATTCTATGGGGATAGCCCTACCTTATTGGGCTTCATGATGAGGGGGTTGATATGGCTTATGTCTATCCTTATTTTTGCTTATGTGCTTTTTTGGGGGCCCTATTCTAAGGTTTGCAGATTGGGGCCTTAGGGTTTTCGGCTATAGGGTACTATAGGGGTACCATAAGGGTACTTGAAGGGCTTCTAAGGCTTGGAGATTAGGGTTTGAGGTGTTCTTTTGTTTATGGGCTTTTAGGGTTTCTTTAGGATTTGGAGTTTAGG